GGGGCGAGTGGGGTCGCGGCGGGGACGCGGGGGGGACTATTTTCCACGCGCCGCGCGTGCAGAACTCTCCAGAAGGGGGAGGGGGAGAGCGGAGGGACACGATACGGCGCGCGGGGGCGTTGGTGGTGCGGCCGTGACGCCGCCTTCTCGCGAGAGTTGGCCGGCAGAAGTTCCGGCCGCGCCGCCGCGCTGCCGCTGTGGGCGTGAGGCGGCGGCCGGGCCCCCCGAGCCCGTCCGGTCCGGTCCGGTCCGGTCCGGTCCGGTCCGGTCCGGTCCGGTCCGGTCCGAGCGCTGCAGCGCCGCGTTCACGGCAGCTTCCAGGCGTCTCGAGCGGCTCCGGGGGCGCCGCTGGAGGCTCCCGCTCAGTGCCTGTGAACGGGTCCCGTTCAGACGGGTGCTTCACGCTCCCGCCGGGCTATGTAGCCGTTTTCTGGGCGCACTGCTGAGCTGTGAATGGGTAGGGCTGCAAGYAGCACTCTGAAACTAAAGGGCAGCATCCCCAGGATAGTGAGGAAYGGAATGAGATGGGCCCGGGGGCAGCGCTAGGGCATGGCTTACCGGCGGTAAGCGTGTGAGCACAGGAACAAGTCGTGTTCCACGCCAGTTGGAGCGGTTTGTGTTGGTGTCGCACCTCTCCTTGCCCTGGGGCCCTTTGCCTGGGCGGTGACGGCGCTTGGGGCAGCCCTTGCTGCCTGTGTGAGCCTGGGCCGGCGCCGCTGACACCTGCCCTTCTAGTAAAGAAAACACCAAGGAAATGTTTATTGCCTCTTGGGACTCTTAATCAAGGCGGCAAGAGTTTGTGCTTCTTTACAGGCACTCATAGCAAAGCCTAGTCGATAGATTTAGTCAYGTGCAATTGGAATTTTTAGTGCATCGTACTAAGATTTTCTTTTGTTACTCATCTTCCTCTGCCTCGCTGGCGCTGTGGTAGAGTTGCATTTTTCATCATTCCTCTTGTTCCGGCACCTCCTGTTTATATCGCGGCAGTGAGAGGTGCAGGGCTCTAATGGCGGACGTAAAAGAGAAGCGAAATGGTCGACTCGGAGCTGCAACGCCGGTCAACTCGCCGCGCTCGGAGCAGGACGATCTCCCACAGCGCCTGCACGGGCCTGCTGGGAGCCTTCGAGCTGCTGCTCCTCAGCAGGAGTTGTTCGCTCTTCTGCTGACTTGGCTGCCAACCTTTCTACAACAAACTAAGATTTCTCTTCTCATGTATTTGGGATGAGGTGTGAATGGGATTACTTTGTGTCTTCTTAGACATGAGGTTTCTGTCCACAGAAATCCTGTTCTCCTGCTTTTCTCTCTCTTCCATCTCATAGAATCTCATAAACGCCTCTGGACATGACAAGATACATCACACACTCACAAAAATGGGTCGCTTTTTTTTTTT